TATTACCTGCATTATCGTCGGAGCTACTGTCACTTTTACTGTCTGTGGCCACAATTCTTTGTTCTCCCCTGTCACTGCCGCTCTCTGAATCACCATTGCTATGCGTCTCACAAGTCAGGTCAGCTAGGTCTTCGGAGGAGAATTTGTCCTTGATCCGTTCTCCCCCACTACCTACTGGCTGATACACACAGCTTGAAGAAGGCAAAGCATTTTCCTTTATAGTCGGTTAAGTAAACAGCGAGGTCAAGTTACTGACTGCTAACTAAACATTCCAGAGTCTTATCACGCATTTGCAGGTGGTTGCGTATAATGTAAGTGGTGCCAGAGCGATGTATAGCGTGTTGCAACTTATCGTGTTCTAAAAGCATAAATCTAGGTGACCAGTCTGCCACGTTTAAAACCCAAACGCCTAGGCCTAGGCGTCTGGTCCGCAAAGTGTTAAAACATCTCCATCCCATAAAAACTATTGAAGGCAGATATAACTGCACAGAATTTAAGTTTAAACTCTTGTCTATTCTTTGAAAGATGGTTGTAAGTCTGCTGAGATAACATTCTGCCATTCCAACTTCAGGCACTTGTGTATGAATTTTCAAAATCTCTGCTGTTCTTCCACTTCAAATATAGCGTGACTGCTTTTTTATATTGAGAAATACTCGTATGGCACTAGAAAGTTGTTCATAATTTTATAGGAGAGTCTTAAGCCTCACATTGAAGAATATGAACCAATTCATTTAAAAAATTATGTGGCTTGTTTGTTTTCTAGAACACATTATTCAGAAAACAAGTTTTGCAACAGGCTGAGAAGTTAACTCATGAATTTTTGCTGGACTGTCAGAGCTACAACAAAGCTGAGGATCTGTATTCTTGTATTTCAAACAGTTTTAAATATCTGGATGAGGTAAGTTTCTGTCTTTGTAAGCAAATGAAAGAATGAATGTCTTTATATATGTGAACCTCCTGTAAATCTAGTCATCCAGAGTGGAATTCCAGATTTTACCTCAATATTTTACCAAACAATACTTGTTTCACGTAATTTCATATAAGATAATTATTTGATCAACTGTAAACAATATTATAAATATTGTGTCATGATGGAATAATTTAACATGAGGCATCATTGTTTACTAGGCAGTGGCACAATAAACAAGCTATTACATCATAAACAAGCAGGCCATTGTTAGGCAATGAATAAACAAGCAGCAATAGAGGAGCCATTGGTGGCAATGTTTTCTGTGTGGTCGTAGCCAAGGCTGCATAATGAGAACAAGTGAGGCACTGACAAAACTGCAACTGTCTGACAGTAACTAAAATCTGCTCTTGGCCCCAGGATGGTGCTTGACAGCAGGACTGACTGGCCAACTGACCATTGGTCATAACTTAACTCTGACTTTGGCTTGAAGTTGGTTGAAAGCCAGCTACCTTCAAGTAAGGAGCACCGAAGCAGAAGAACTCAATGCGATGTCTACTGACTGAGACAACTTTTGCTGTAGCAATTAGTTAAATATTTATATTAGCCAGACTATTGTAATGTTTTGTAGTTGTAGTTATAAGAGTCCAGTAAATCCAGTTAGCAATCCAAACCCTGTGTCTGGTCACTAACATGCAACTATATACATATACATGCAGTCTGTTAAAGCAGGAAGAAGTTAGTTAAAACTCCAACAGGCAGCACTAGGAAGGAAGTAAACACTTTCAAAAACTATCAAGGAAACTACTCAATGTTAAAAACTGACCTGAAATTTGCACAGTAATAGAACCAACCAAAGAATGTTGCTGTGTGAAATTTCAGCTGCCGGTAGAAATATCTAAGATGTGACAAAATGGTGCAGTGTGTAAAACTACATTAAACAACAAAATAGGAGCCAGAAGGATGCAGTCAAGTTGCACTGACAAGCAGATATAGTAAACAAAGGAAAGAGACTTTTTCATGTTACTAGGCCCATGGGTGCATCCAACAACGCCACTACTTAGTCAATCAGACTAGCAGACTCAAATCTGGAAATCTTTAAAATTCCACGTCAGACAGAAGGATCCATGCAGTCACTGAATGTAGTAAATGGTGAAAAATGATGAATGCAGGGATAAGTAGGCCATGGTTACCCCCCCTTAATGCTTATAGTTCATTATAGAGTGAAATCTCCATTGAAGTTTCTTTGAGGCCGATTGAATTAGGATGCTAAACTGAGGTAAGTCTCCAATGGGCGAAATTTAACAATGATAGTGTTGACTTTATTGGTTTATTGCCACTCCTTTTCAACACTGCTTTAGAATATGCCATTAGGAACGTCCAGGGAAACCAGGTGGGACTGAAATTAAACGGGACACATCAGCTGTTGGCCTATGCCGATGATGTGAATCTACTGGGTGATAATGTAGATACCATAAAGAAAAACACACAAACTTTAATTGACGCAAGTAAAGAGGTTGGTCTAGAAGTAAACACAGAGAAAACTAAGTATATGTTACTGTCTCGTCACCAAAATGCAGGGCAAAATCATGACATAAAAATAGGAAACAGATGTTTTGAAAATGTGGCACAGTTTAGATATTTGGGAACAATGATGACAAATTGAAACCTGATTCAGGAGGAAATTAACCCATTGCCGTGGTTTGACGTGTATGTTTCGTCAGGTATTTAAATCGTCTGGGGGGGTTCGACGTGTATGTTTCGTCCAGCTGCACACGTATGTTATAACGCCCATAATAATTGATGGTTTTGCTGTAGATTGTTAGATTTTTCACTGGCCTGTTGTCAGGAGGACTGTATTTAATGACACACGCGTTTAAGAGCGCTAAGTCGTCGTTACATATGCCTGTCTTGCAGCAAC